CCTTAACTGATCTGCTGTTTCCACTCTGCATCTCATCCTTCCCATTTTCACTTTACTTCAGTCACAAATGGGGTCCTTGGTGTTTTTTTCAAGGCCCATGTGTGCTCCTGCTTCAGAGCATTAACACTGGCTCCTGCCTCTGCCCAGAGGTGCTTTCCCCAGATGTGGACAAGGCCGGCCCTCACTTAGTTCAGCCTCTGCTCAAATACCCACATATCTTCCCTTCATCCACCTTATATAAAACAGCATACCTCCATCCGCCTCATTCATTCATTCATTCAACAAATATTTACTGAGCTGCTACTATGTACCAGGCACTGGAAATACATTCACTGAACAAAATGGACAAATATTTCTATCCTCATATTGCTTAAAGTCTAGTGTGACAGAAATAAGAACATGAAATATAAAACATAAAATTGTGTACTATGTTAGAAAGTGATTAACTGGTATTGGAAAAAGTCTCAAGCTAAGGGGAACTGAGATTGCCAGAAGTAGTGTGTGTGTGAGTGTGTGTTATAGGGGTTTCAAAAAAATTTTTTTTTGGTCCAAACATTTATTTAGGCAGGAAAACCTGGCAGAGTTCAGACTGCTGTTCCATCCTACTGGACTACTAAATTAGCCACTTACTATATTTAATCTCTGTTCTTTCATCTGATCTTACTTCAGTTAGCTTTTTTTTTTTTTAATTTTTATTTTATATTGGAGCATAGTTGATTAACAATGTTGTGTTAGTTTCGGGTCTACAGCAAAGTGATTCAGTTATACATATACATGTATCTGTTCTTTTTCAAATTCTTTTCCCATTTAGGTTATTACAGAATATTGAGCAGAGTTCCCTGTGCTATACAGTAGGTCCTTGTTGGTTATCCATTTTAAATATAGTAGTGTGTACATATCAATACCAAGCTCCCAGTCTATCCCTCCCCTGCCACCCTTCCCCCCCGGTAACCATAAATGTGTGTGTTTTTTTTAAAGGATTATTTTTATAAATTTATTTATTTATTTATTTATGGCTGTGTTGGGTCCCCGTTTCTGTGCAAGGGCTTTCTCTAGTTGTGGCGAGCAGGGGCCACTCTTCATTGCGGTGCGCGGGCCTCTCACTATCGTGGCCTCTCTTGTTGCAAAGCACAGGCTCCAGACGCGCAGGCTCAGTAGTTGTGGCTCATGGGCCCAGTTGCTCTGCGGCACGTGGGATCTTCCCAGACCAGGGCTCGAACGCATGTCCCCTGCATTGGCAGGCAGATGCTCAACCACTGCGCCACCAGGGAAGCCCCATAAATTTGTTTTCTAAGTCTGTGGGTCTCTTTCTGTTTTGTAAATAAGTTCATTTGTATCTTTTGGTTTTTTTTAGATTTATAGAGGTTTCAATTTAATAAGATGGTCAGGGTAGGCCTCATTGGGAAAATGACTGTCTTAGCTCAGGCAACCATTACAATATATCATAGCTTGCGTGGCTTGAACAACAGAAACTTATTTTCTCACAGTTCTGGAGGCTAGAAGTCCAGGATGGTCCATGGTGCCAGCATGGTCAGTTTCTGGTGAGAGCTCCCTTCCTGCCTTGCAGACGGCTGCCTTCTCACCGTGTCCTCACATGACAGAGAAAGAGCAAGCTTTCTGATGTCTCTTCTTATAAGAGCACTGATTCCATCATGAGAGCCTCACCCTCATGACCTCATCTAACCTCATTACCTTCTAAGGCCCAATCTCCAAATACCACTACATTGGGCATTAAGGCTTTTCAACATACGAATTGCGGAAGCAGGGGACACAATTCCGTCCATAGCAATGACAACTGAGCAAATTCTTGAAGAAGTGGAGGGGTGAACCATCTGAATATTAGGAAGAGTGTTCCAGGCAGAGGAAGCAGTAGATGCAAAGGCCCTGAGCTGGAGCAGTGCCTGCGTGTGTCTGCATTGCTGGAGCAAGTGAGCAAGGGGGAGACAGTTAAGAGATCAGGAGGGAGGGGCAGATTGGATAGGGCTTTGTAAGCCATTGCAAGGCCCTGAGTTTTGGGGGGGGGAGTGTTGTTTGTTTGTTTGTTTTTGTTTAAGACGTGGATTTATTTAGAGAGATACACATTCCATAGACAGAATGCCATCCATCTCAAAAGGTGAAAATGGCCTTGGGAGAAACACACTCCACAGACAGAGTGTGAGCCATCTCAGAAGGTGAGAGGCCAGGACTTGAGTTTTTATTCTGAGAGAAACAGGGAGCCACTGGCAGGTTCGAAGAGTCTACTAGAGAAGAGATTTCCTGAGTAGGTGCGAAGGAATAGGATCTCAAGAACAGGTAAGGGCTGCCTGTAGGTAGGAGCTCAGGTAGTCCAGGAACAAGAGGAAGGCAGGGTACAGGCATACCCATTCCCCTTGCTATGCACTGTCATCTCCGCCATCTGGCAAATTATACAGTCATGTGTTTATTGTTTATCGTCTATTCCCCTCACTGGGATGTGAGTTCCACAGAGTCAGTGACATTGGTATTTAACTGCTGTTTCCCAAATGTCTAGAACAGTGCCTGGCACATAAAGCACCAAATACTTGAAAAATGCTTTGCCTGGATGACTGGCCAATTGAGAAAGAGAGAAAATAATGTTCAGAGTTCTAGTGACATTCATTCTCCACATCTTGAAAACTACATACCAGAAGAAAGAGCGGTAACCATCCCCAGTCCATTGTGGTACGAGCTGATGCTGTTCTTGTTTTCAGATTCAGGCATGGTGGCGTGGAATAATGGTCCGCAAAGGATTTGGGAAATTTGAAGACCTGCTAAAATTGCAAAAGAAGGGAAGGAATTCTCCAAAAGATAAGAAAGGGAAGAAGGATGTAAAAGGAAAATCTGTAAAGAAAAACAAGAAATAATTCTATAAATGTATGAATTGAGGTAATGAACCCTGATGGATTAAGAAAGCAAAATCTCTAGGAATTAGATGCCTACCACACAAAAATTATTCACAGAGTTATGGTTATATATAAAAAATAAAGGTTCTTTTACTGAAATGTTGATGAGTAAAAATGCTATGATGCCTGGGAATTGCTTCAGAATAATATCAGGGAGAGGTAAATGTGAAGAATCCAAATGAAACAAGATTGGCCCAAAATTGGTAATTGTAGAAACGTGTGAGGTTCATTGTACTCTCATGTCTACTTTTAAAACTTTTAATTATGAAATAATTCACAGGAGGTTCCAAAGAAATGTACGGGGAGGTCCATGCACCCTTCACCCTCCCGCAGTGTTGACATCCTACATAACTATAGTACAGTAACAAAACCTGAAAATGGACCTCACTACCAGCCACAGAGCTTATTCAGATTCCATCACTTATGCATGCATTTGTGTGTGTGTGCATGTGTGTGTCTGTGTATGTGTGTGAGTGTGTGTAGTCCAATGAAGTTTTCTTCCATGTAGCTTTTGTGAAGCCACCACCACAATCAAGATACAGAATTGTTCTATCACCACCAATCTCCCTTGTGCTATTGCTTTTAGTCACACCTACCACCTACCCCTCTTCCAATCCCTAACCTGTAATTTTGTTATTTCGAGAAGATCATGTGAATGGAATCACATAGTATGTAACATTCGGGGACTGGCCTTTTTATACTGTATAATTCACTTCCAGTCCACCCAAGTAGTGCAAGTATGAATAGTTCATTCCTTTCTGGTAGTATTACATAGTTTGTTTCACCATTCACCCTTTGAAGGGTATTGTTCTGTTTCCAGTTTTTGGCTAGTATAAATAAAGCTGCTGTGAACATTTGTTCATAGGGTTTTGCATGAGCACAGGTGTTCATGGAATTCATGGGAATG